CACAGTCTGACTGTACATGGTAGGCTTTTGTTCTCACCTTTTTCTCCCGATGTTTCTTTCCTGACTGATGGAAGGTTCTAAGACTTACGATTCATGGCCATTGAACTCTCACCCTGCTTAGCTGTATAGACAGACAATACTGAAGCTATGAGACAACAATACTAACACGTAGTATAGCTCCAAGGGGTTCTGGCGGTACAGTGGTTAAGGCATTTGGTTGCTAACCAGGAGGTTGGTGTTCAAACCCACCAGCCACTCTGCAGGAGGAAGATGAGGCAATTTACTTCCATAAAAATTTATAGCCTTGGACACCCTTTGGGTCACTATGAGTTGGAATTGACTCAATGGCACCGGGTTTGGTTTGGTTTTGGTGTAGATCCAGCTTTCATGTTTTCCTAACCTGAACCAAGTGAGTATTAAATACCAAAAGGATATTAATAAAATAATAGTTTTGCCAAAAATAATGAAACCTCATATAACCTCTGCATTTTACTACTGAATGAATAACATTCTTAGAAAACTGAATATTATGGAAACCCAGATATGTTTTGTTAATGGAGTTCTTTCTAGAAACTGAATTTTTATACAAGCACTGTTTTCTAAGTCAGCTAAAACGTCACTAGCCAAAACCAAACTGCCGTCGAGTTGATTTGACTCGTAGCAACCCTTCCTTGGGTTTCCCAGGCAGTATCTCTATGGACAAACTCACCAGCCACTCCTCGGAAGGAAGGTTGGGCAATCCTACTTCCGTAGTGATACTGCCTCGGAAACCCAAGGAGGGGTCGCTATGAGTCGGGTTTGACTCGACGGCACATAACAACAACAACATCTCTATGGAAGTAGATTCCCCATTCTTCCTTCCAAGGAGTGGCTGATAGGTTTGAACCGCCAGCCTTCTGGTTAGCAGTCAGATGCCTTTGACACTACACCGCAAAAGCTATATTCCTCAACCTTGACAGATAGCTGGTGTTTATCCTTTTCTTTCTCCCTTTCCTTCATCTTTTTGCTTGAAGCATATATGTAATGCCTAGAGCTTCAGCAGCTATTTAAAACTATGAGGTGATCTTGAGGGTGGAAGCCAAGTGCTAAAGTGCAGGAGCAAAAAGATAGAAGGAAATGGTTTCTGGATGATCAACCATGAAGCTACCAGCCCTGAAATACTCCCCTGTGGGTGTAGATTTCTACTACTGGGGTGGTGATATGTATGAATTATGTTCCCCAAAAATGTGTTCTAAATCCTAACTGCTATACCTGTGGTTATAATCCCATTTGGGAATTGTTTGTCTTTTTATGTTAATGAGACAGGATTCATGTAAGGTGTATCTTGAGACAATCTCTTTTGAAATAGAAAAGAGATTATTAAACAAGCAAGCAGAGGAGAGATGGGGTAAGACAGATGCCAAGACACATGGAGAACTCCAAGGAACGAGGAAACAGAAGCTGAAGAGACAAGGACCTTCCTCCAGAGCCAACACAGAGAGAAAGACTTCTCCTAGAGCCAGAGCTCTAAGTTCAGACTTCTAGCCTCCTAAACTGTGAGAAAACAGATTTTGGTTTGTTAAAGCTATCCACTTGTGGTATTCTGTTACAGCAACACAGATAACTGAGACAGGTGAGGAATCACTATCTTATTTTAAACACTTACATGAGTTTTCTGTTACATGCAGCCAAATTATTACTAACTGATACACCCCTCTCTTCACTAGTCAGTGCCTACTTATCCCTCAAGTCTCAAATTGTCACTTTCAAGAAGAAGCCACAACTGACTAGGTCATATTCACCTGTCATTCTCATAACCTGGAATTTTTTCAAGTGCTTCTTCAAAGGACTTAGCACAACTGTAATTAAGTATTTCTCTAATTAATTGATTACTATCTGTTTCCCACCGGAACTATCTATCAGTAGAGCTATGTCTATATTGTTCATAAATGCCAGCAAAGGGCCTTGCACATATTAGGGCCTCAATCAATACCTTACACCTCTTATCAATCCCCCAAAGGTCACATACGGTTCTAAACATATACTAGGTACTAACAAACATCATTAATACTACACACAAGTAAAATTTTGCTGAAGATAATTCAAAACAGTTGCACCAGTATAATGACGGAACTTTCAGAAATTCCAGCTGGATTCAGAAGAGGACATGGAATGAAGGATATCATTACTGACGTCAGATGGATCTTGGCCGAAAGCAAAGAATACCAGAAAGATGCTTACTTATATTTTATTGACTGTGCAAATGCATTTGACTGTGTGGATCATAACAAATTATGGATAACATTGAGAAGAATGGGAATTCTGGAACGCTTAATTGTGCTCACGAGGTACGTGTACATAGAGCACGAGGCTATCGTTCAAATGGAACAAGAGGATACTGCATGGTTTAAAATCAGAAAGGGAGTGCATCAGGGTTGTATCCTTTCACCACACTTATTCAATCTGTATGCTGATCAAATAATATGAGAAACTGGACTATGTGAAGAAGAGGGCAGCGTCAGGACTGGAGGAAGACTCCTTAACAACCTGTGATACGCAGATGACACACCTTGCTTGCTGAAAGTGACTATGACTTGAAGCACTTACTGATGACGATCAAAGACCACGGTCTTCCGTATGTATTACACCTCAACATAAAGATAACAAAAGTTCTCACAATTGGACCAATAAGCGACATCATGATAAATGGAAAAAAGATTTGAAGGTGTCAGGGATTTCATTTTATTTGGATCCACAATCAACATGCTTGGAAGCAACAGTCAAGAAATCAGATGCTGTATTACACTGGGCAAATGTGCTGCAAAAGATCTCTTGAAAGTGCTGAAGAGCAAAGATGTCATTTTGAAGACTGAGGTGCACCTAACACAAGCCATGGTATTTTCAGTCACCTCAGATGCATGTGAAAGCTGAACAATGAATAAGGAAGACCCAAGAAGAGTTGGTGCCTGTTTTGGTTACTTCAGTCCTGCTCTAACAGACATACCACAAATGGGATGGCTTTAGCAAACAGAGATTTATTCTCTTACAGTTTAGGAGGCTAGAAGTCTGAATTCAAAGTGCCAGCTCTAGGGGCTGGGTGGAAGCCCCTCAACCTTGGGCTTCAGTTCTGCCTCTTGCTCCTGGACCACTTAAGCTGGAGATGTCTCTTCACTCAGGCAGCTGCTGGGTGCTGAGGCTGACAAACCCAAGGGCATTAAGTAAAATAGCTTGGTCCCCAAATTATTGAACTACATGGCAAGGCATTAATTTAAGTCCATTAATAGTCCCAAGGTCAGCAGACAATGTGGCAGGCCATTGAGATGAAGACTCAGCTACATGCAGGGTCCAAGAATGCCAAAAGCTGCAGAGGCCTTTCTCAAAATTTCTTCTTATATACTGGAAGCAGACCAGCTGCTCACTGCAGATTCCACCATGAAGTTGATTACCAGTCTCATTACAGGGAATAATTACATCCGGCTGCCCAGACACTCAAAACCAGGCCTAGCCAAGTTCACACACAACTACCACAGTGTCTTTGAATTGTGGTGTTGGCGAGGAATATTAAAAATACCATGGACTGCCAAAAGAACAAACAAATCTGTCCTAGAAGAAGTGCAGCTGGAATGCTCCTTAGAAGCAAGAATGGCCAGACTTCATCTCACCTGTTTTGGCCATGTTATCAGAAGAGACCACTCCCTAGAGAAGAATATGATGCTTACTAAAGTAGATGGATTAGCAAAAAAGGGGAAGACCCTCAACCAGACAGATTGACACAGTGGCTGCAATGATGGGCTTAAGCATAGCAAGGATTGTGAGGCTGGCACAGGACCAAGCAGTGTTTCACTCTGTTGTACATGGGGTCATTATGAGTCAGAGCTGACTCAACAGCACCTAACAACCACAACAATAAACATCATGGTGATTGACAAATTGATTAACCAAAGAAAGCTTCATCCTCATCCTCCAGGCCTAAGCTTGACCTGGATTCCTGTCACCATGATATCATTAGCCTGTAAATTCACTGCTCTCTAGTCCAGATGATCTGCCTCCTTTTGGATAAACTTCTGACCTGGTAGCTGTGCTTATTACCAGTAACAACACTTTTTAAAAAAAGAAGTTCTCAGGGTGGGTTAGAATCACCAACTTTTCAACGACAAGCACTTAAGCATTTGCACCAACAGAGCTCCTTAACAATGCTTTACAGATGTGTTTTATTCTGACCTGGATGTGTGTGTGCTTCACTTCTTCTTAAAGGTTTTTCTGATTTTTAAAACCAGAAGGGGAACAAATATCTATCCTCCCTCCCTGACTAGCTTTTCTAGATACAAAAAGAAAACAACATGATGGCTGAGAAGAATACAATAATCACTCCTGTGATATTTCTGCCAAAAATGATTAATGTGAACCTAATCATGAGGAAACATCAGAAAGACAAACCCATAACAATGAAATTACATGAATACTTCAAAACTGTCAATTTCATGAAAAACAAAGAAATGTTGAGGAAGTATCCCAAATTAAAGGAGACTAAAGATATGATAAGTAGATGTAATAGCACAGTGGCTGGATTGAATACTATTCAAGGGGAAAAAAAAAAAAAGAAAGAAAAACTCATGGAAATTACTAGAACAATTGGGAAAATCTGAGGACTGTATATTAGATACTAGTATTGTATCAATGTTAAATTCCTGAATTTAGTATTGGGATTATGGTTATGTTTGAGATTTTTTTTTTTTTTTTTTTTTTTTTTTGAGAATACTCTTGATCTTAGAAGATGCTGCTGAAGTATGGAGGTACAAAGGTTTATGACGTCTGCCACTCTTCTTAAACAGGCAATCTAGTCAGATGGTCAAAATAGTAATATTTATAATAGGAGAAAGAGTGCATGCAAATATAGACAGATGTTGACAATTAGAGAACCTAGGTCAAGAATATACAAGTGTTCATTGTACTATTGTTGCAACTTTTCTGTAAGTTTGAAAGTTTTCAAGACATAGTTTAAAAAAAAAAGCTAACTACAGTCATTCCTTCTGGAAATCAAACATTTGATTGAGGACAGCAACACTGACAAAGGCAATCAACTGGATGAGGCTCATCGGTGCTTGCTTTGTGGTCTGTCTCTGCTTAGGATTGCCTTTCAAAGTCCAAAGAACCTGTAGACAGAAGAATGAAGTTAAAGGCTGTGTTCTGTCACAAGACTAACAGTTCTCAACCTACACACTCAACTCCAAGAGGCAGAGCCCTGCTATCTGCCCAAAGCACTGCCTGTGGCAAAAGACCCCATCCACTCCCACTCTGCAAGAGGCTTTTGCCTTCTCTCCCATGTGAAACCCCTCAAAAGTCTGCTCTTTGGGGCTTGCCTCTAGATTTTGTACTATTTTTTTAATGCTGTGTAACCCACCAGGAGGGAGTAAGCTTCGTGTTAAGGACACCGCTGGTTGCCAATTGTCAAGCTCCTCAACTTCTCTTATCTCATTCTTCAGCTTGTTAGCCTTCTCTTTCACCCAGAAAGGTAAACTATAGGAAGAAGAAAACACCTCTGTTTGGATTTGTCTGACACAAAATTTATAAACACCATCACTAGACAGGACACTACATGTTCCAAAAATAAGAAGATCTCTGTCTTGGTTACCTAGTGCAGCTATAAAAGAAATATTACAAGTGGGTGGTTTTAAAGAAAAGAAATTTATTTTCTCATAGGTCAGGAGGCTAGAAGTCCAAATTCAGGGCACTGGCTCTAGAAGAAGGCTCTCTCTCTCTCTCTCTGTCAGCTCTGTGGGGAAATCTTTGTCTCTCTTCAGTTTCTTTCGCTCAATTCCTTGGTGACTTTCACATGTTACCTATCTTTCCCCATTTGTGCTTGTTTGTCTCTGTGTCTAATCTGCTCCTTTTGTATCTCAAAAGTCATTAAGTTTGCACTAGTAGGAAAGTTCAACAAAACAGAAAATAACAAGTGCTGATGTGGACGTGGAGAGATGGGAACTCTCATACACTGCTGGTGGGACAGTAAAATGATACAACCACTGTGGAAAACAGTATAGTGATTCCTTAAAAAGTTGGATTTAGAAACACCATCTGAGCCAGCCATTCCATTACTAGGTATATTCCCTAAAGAAGTGAGAGCCAGGACAAAAACAGGTATCTGCACATCCATGTTCATCGCAGCAGTATTTACAATAACAAAAAGATGGAAACAACCTAGATGTCCATCAGCTGAGGAATGGATAACCAAACTATGGTACATACACACAATGGAATACTATGCAATGCAAAAGAATAATGTAGAATCTGCAAAACACCGCATAATGTGGATGAAATTGGAGGACATTATGCTGAGTGAAATAAGTCAATCACAAAAGGACAAATGTTGTATTAGTCCATTATTGTAAAAGTTAAGGAAAGGTTTATCTATTGAAGGAAATTTTCTTTGTTGGTTACCAGGGGTGGGAGGAGCGGGGAGGGAAC